TGGGCTGTAGATGAGTGCCGGCTGGTGGAGTCGGACGCACAAAAGCTACGGTTGAGCGTGATGCACGCCGAACAAGGCGGTCAGCCCGGGTGCTGAGACCTGTGGAAGGAGTATTCAAACTGGGATGTGGTAGGGTAGAACGGACATGTAAAGATATGAGAACGAGGCGTCAGTAGTATGCTTTCGTTCATCTGCTCTATCGTATGCAGCAAGACAACCTGGTTGGAGACACCACGCGCAGGCCGATGTAGTATGAGATTACTGTTAGCTGTAGGTATCATGAGTGTATTTGGGCTGGAATACTGCCAGTGTTCATACCTAGATGGGAGGGTGATTAGGGTCGTCGACCAAAGCCTTTGGCTCAAAAGCTTGACCAAGAAGCAGGTGTTTGGTGGGAACCACCATCCTTTGAAAACAAGTCTACACACATGATCAAACCCCCAACCTGAAACAACAGAAGGTTGTTCATCAGACCTATAGCCAATGACTAAGCTGGTATGAAAGACTCCGTGATAATCGCAAGGCACTGTGCAATAGAACTCAATGGATCACGAAGACACCAGTTTCTCGGTGACGGAGGTCAGGATTAGGGTCACCAAAGCCTTTGGCTCAAAAGCTTGACCAAGAAGCAGGTGTTTGGTGGGAACCACCATCCTTTGAAAACAAGTCTACACACATGATCAAACCCCCAACCTGAAACAACAGAAGGTTGTTCATCAGACCTATAGCCAATGACTAAGCTGGTATGAAAGACTCCGTGATAATCGCAAGGCACTGTGCAATAGAACTCAATGGATCACGAAGACACCAGTTTCTCGGTGACGGAGGTCAGTAGACTTGGAAACTTCGACGAATTTAGGAATAAATGAACTCTTGTTTCTCGAACGTCATCGAGCTGCTGGTCCTGGCGGAATCCCATCCGTTTTGTTTAAAGACGAACGTAAAATCTTCGGTCCGTACTGGTTTCCGGGCGAAAGGGGTCATCCCAATCAGCTAGCCTGAGTCGACGGGGGCGTCCATTTTCAAAAAGGGTGTTCGCAATGAGTGTGGCGATAACGGAGAAATTAGCTCGAACTTCATTGTGATTACCCTGGTGTCCCTTATTTCACGTCATCTTACAAAGGGGCGTAAAGACGGGACCCGAGAGTATAAAGCAGGATCTCGGCTGGAGACTGTGTGGAACACATCTTCAAACTCCGTGTTGAAGCAAATACATTCTTGGCGTCCCGTGACTTCAAGAGTGCGTTCGATTCTATCAGAAGACTATTCCTCCACGAGCCCGCGCAACAGGGTATACCTCCAGAAGTTTGTAAATAGAAACAAACCGTTCAGCTGTAGCACCCTTTCGATACCTAGCTGCCATGCTACGACTGTATGTCCCAAACCACCCAACTTCACGCTGATCGGGACTGCAGATGCTGGTTAATAATAGGCGCATCTCAGAACGCCAAGGATGAACTCAGCTCTCTCAGATTTCTCCCTCCGTGTGTCCGGTGATCCAGAAGTGATGACTCGTGGAACATATGGCGTAGGAGTCGCGCAGCCCCAGGGCTGAACACGCTTTGCTGGATTGGATCCCAGTGAATAGTTGTCTTTGCGTCGTCCGGTCATCTAGTTCAATCAAGCTCAATGTCTCTCGGCGTAAAAAGCGTGCCGCGAGCTGCGTATGCCGGTCGACCGACTTCCTCGAAGGGCTCTTTTCGCAGATGCACAGCTGCGTATCTGGAGCGCTCCAAGTGTAGTCGTCGAGGGCAAGAGTGAATTGGAGGACCAGTGGCGGTTATGTGATGTGCGACTGGGTGTGGTGCACTCGGGACCGAGGACTAAACGAGCAATCGCAGTCTGGTTTTCTGATCAGTAACTTAATAAGGGCGACTGGATGACCGGGCAGAGGCTGGTCGCTACCACCGACTGGCCAGCTGGTTTCCCCGGCTTATGACGGTAAACGTAGAAAATCGTGCGTGCGTGTCAATTTATTGCCAAAAGTACGTCAACGACGAACACACTTTGGACACGTTCAGTGGCAAACGTCGGTCCCGACGGGATCGGTTGTTCAGGCCCCTCCACAAAATATATTACTCATTTTACAGCTCAGGACGCAAGTCGGACGTAGCCCTCAATCAGCGCCTCCAACGAGCTGCTACGAAAACGGCTGCCGGGCTTGAATCCATGGACCGAAAAACTCGTCTTCCAGTGCTCGACCTCTTCCCGTGGATTATCGTCGCCTCGGAGGAGATCCAATACTTATGCCATGTTTGAATAAGGTTTGGTCAACAGGATTTTCGCAGTTGACAAAGCTAACGTCCGGCGGGGACGTTATAAGATTTTCGTGCCCAGAGTGCACAACTTTATTAGGCACAATTTTTTTCACATTTTCGGTAGTTGCTGTGAGGAATATCCTTCCACCGACGGTTGTCCACAATCCATCTAGTGCCTAGTTCAAAGCACGTTTGACGCTTTTTATGCGAGCCCTCGAGCTCGCAAGCTTACTACCGCAGTGCTAAACCATATTTCACTTGTGCCATTTAGGTGAACGACAGCCACCGAGCGACATGAAAACCGACCCAGGAGACTTGGGCGAAAGGCTTCATGCTGTGCATCAGTCTGTGAACCTGTGAGAAGGACAGCTTAAGCACACAATTTCATTGGCCAGTAATGCCATCATACCTTGGGCGGAAAGTCTGGTCGAATAATTTCCTAGCATCGCTTAGACCCCGAGATGCCTATATGGGGCTCGAAAGTTTAGACTCGTACTCCGAACTTATCTGCCCCTCTCTCTTGGTTTATCAGGGATACTTGGTAGCTTGCGAAAGGTCAACTCCATTGTGCGAATACTGCGCGCCCCCATTGAGCCAGTAGGCACGTGGGATTTTCAACCTACGCGCGCTTGACCTTGGATCAAAAGGTCAAGTGAGCGATCCTTTGTTGCCAAATGCTCATTTTTGTAACGTTTTTGTGAGTGAAGGGAAAAGTTTCGTGCAAAAATGTTGCGTTTTGTTAAATGTGTGCTAAAACTATAGGTCATCCCCATCGATTGTCATTTTGTCGCGATTCGTTTTAAGTAATTTTAATACCCAACTATTGACATGACTTTGAAATTGCTGTGCGATGGCTTCAGAAGTGGCCTCAGACGTTTGTTGAGAGATTAGGGGATGTCCGCTTTTCATCGTTCATGGTATTGGAGGTGGTAAAGGAGTAAATAAGGGATAACTATCTGGTATTTGCACGTGTAGCCGGTAATCAAAGCACCGAAGTTGTGTTCCTTTACGAATGGGCGTACCGCAAATTCGGTGGGCAACCAGCAAGACAAACGAGGAGTCAATGAATCCGAACAGGCTAATAAGTTGAGCACGTCTGCTACTGACGCGAAGCACCAGCTACCTAATGTGTTTTGCTCTGGAACATGGGGATCATCTCGTAATCATCAATTTCATCTTGAACACAATCATAAGGTTTCGAAGCTTTTGTACGATCGGTTTCAGGGTAAATCGACGGCTAACCGAGGAGGAGTTGGCACCTTAAGGGCCCTGCTGAAGATGAAACGTCGACAAACGAATTGCGACAGTTTTGAGCGGTGAATTCGGCAAGGTCCTGATCACTCAGCACATATACAACCACCGCCAGCATTGTCGGTCATCTCTCCTGAGTAACTAACGCATAATTGGGTTTCACTGTGGCATATTCTATGCTTCGCTCCTTGCAGAAATTCAAGCGACCGGACGCGTACCCATGCTGAAGTCAGGGTAAGGTCGATATATCCATACATGCATCTCGAGATTGCAGTAAGATAGTGTTGTTACGACGCTCCCCGGATGAAGTAAATGGCGGTAGAATAAACGTGACAAACCGCCCCGGGCAAGTTTTTAAAAGGAGACAACATTTGGCTCTTAGATACAGTTTCTACATCTTCCTGATCTTAGATTGCATGGGTACCAGACATTCTGTCACGTATGTCTTCCCGGAAAGAGAACTGTTTGCCCCATGCGAAAACTGCACGGCTTGGTTGGAGAAATGATGTGCAATCTATCTTCCGTAAAGCCCATTGTGATCAACAAACTGGCGGAATAAATGCAGGTAGCGAGATTAGTGTTCAGATAAGGTATCATGTTGTACCACATCCGTATTCGGAATTCCCTCAAGCAGCATTTGTGTATAAAGAATATCCATGCATTTTTCGTCGCAGGCACACTCTGCGAACAACCGGTAAATGTTTCAGTGTATGGTTTACCTGGGCAATACCGTATTGTAGTTTTCTGCTTAGCATAATACTAGCGTGTAGATTCTGACAAGATTTGCAACCGCGCAGACTCGCGATTTATGTCTTACCTTACGGCCCACAGACTGTGTATCACGTGCCAATGGGCCGTATATGCTCAACCGGGTTCATTTTGGAGAAGCCAAGTGTTG